GACGCTAACATGGCTGAGGATGCCGGGAACGAGGACTCAGAGAGAGCTTACAACGCCAGTGCGGCACCAGGTGCCGGAGATGACAATGACTACGAGCTGGATCCCGAATATGTGGAAGCAATGGCGGCGATGGATGATCAGGACGCCCTCGCCGTCGCCAGCTTCGAGGAGGAGCTAGAAGGCTTCTTCCAGGATACACCTGAGATGCAGGAGGCCCTGGTGAGCTATTTGGAGGCTCGTTCGAGATTGTTGTCAAAAAGAAAGGTGCGTGGCTTTTGGCCGGTGAGCGGTCACAAAGGGTTTAAGGGCACAGGCAAAGGAGGCAAGGGAAAGGGCAAAGGCAAGAGCGGGCGCGATCAACTCCTTGCCCGCATCGCAAAATCGACCTGCAGAGCATGTGGCGAGCGAGGACACTGGAAAGCTGAGTGTCCAAAGTATGGAAAACCAGGGTCCATGAGTGCGTCTTCCAAGACAGAGGCCGCGACAACAGTCGCGGAGGTGGACCCAGGGCCTGCAGCCGCTTTCCTGGCAGGACATTTCGATGAATCCCGAGACCTCGAGGTGTTGACACAGCTGCCCGAGGAAGCCGTGTCTCTCGCCGAGGCCTGCATCGTGACTCGCAGCACCCTGCCTTCTAATGTTCCCCATAGATTGAAGCAGATGATAGCTAACCTGAAAACACCTAAGCCCTCAGCAACCCTAAATGCAGCCAACAGGCGGACCGGAAGTGGGGCCAAGTCATGGACTGAAGACCTTCCCCGCCGATCTGAGACTGCATCCCTGAGTGACCTGAGTAATTCCGTAGCCCTACTCAGCACCTCCCCCGTGGAGGCAATCCTTGACACAGGAGCCAGCCGGTGTGTCATGGGACATCGGCTTTTGGAGCCGTTCCTCAGTCAGCTGGGTGACAGGGTCCGGGAACTAGTTAAAGTGACGCGTAGTGCTGTGAAGTTCAGGTTTGGGAATAATCAGACTTTAGATAGCACCAAACGTGTCCTTGTGCCCATCCGGACCAGAGATCACCAGGTTTTGTGGCTGGGAATAGAGATTGTTCCAGGCAACACGCCGTTATTGTTTTCAAAACGGGCTATCAAGCAGCTTGGAGGGATAATTGACACTACGCAAGATACGTGCTGCCTTCGACGTCTCCCTCGGACGTTACAGTTGCACAGCAGTGCAACCGGACTTTATCTCCTGGATCTCGCAAGGTTGAGCGCAGAAAGCTATCAAGAAGGTGAGCAGCAGTGTCAGCATGCATGTGATGAAGCCCTCCAAGGTACCCAAGAGAGCCCCGAGTCCCAGGCACCCCGAGAGCCGTGCATGCCAGCCTGTCAGCCTGAGGTGAAGAAGGAGCCCAATGAAATCTGTACAAATCCCAAGCGGTGTTCCTTTTGGGGTCCCCAGGCCAAGAATTCAATAGTTCGTAGATTCCGTAAATACCCGGAACATGTTAATGAGAAAACCTGCTCATCTCGGTCCCCTAGTACCACGAAGGTGAGCCAACAACCACTGAACCCTAAGTTGCAATCCCTCAGTTCTTTAGCCGTGACAGCCTCAACTAGCATTGCAACTGCCCCTCCCTCGTGTGCAGAGCCATTCCAAGATGGCCCAGAGCAAGGCGGCACCCAGCGTTCCGACTTCTCAAGCCGAAATAGGCTTGTCTCTCGGCGCTCGTTTCGCTCGTCTGACCGAAAGTGGACCGCGCTATACCCCGACCGAGGCACGCACAGTGCCGATGTCAGAGCTCGGGCAGACCATAGTGACTTTCGGCAAACATGCGAAAGGCCGCACTTTCGAGGACGTGATCGTGAACGAGGAGTCCTGGATCAAGTGGGTGTGCGATCATCTTGGCACCAGCGACAAAACAGAGCATCAGGTGCTGTTGATATACATCGAACGGTACGTGGCCGAAGCCGAAGTTCTGGAAGCCGACTTGCGGCAAACCACAGAAGCCGTTACCGTGCAACCGACTCCCAAGAGCAAGATGCCTCCCCGCAAGCCCAGCCGTATCCAGGAGCCGCCTGTGGAAGATCACTGGGATATGGTTGCGGAAGCCGAGCTGCAGAACGCCATGGAGTCCCAGGTTCAGGACTTGAGCAGTCGCATGAACCAGATGGAGGGAATGATGCATCAGATGTTGAGTGCCATACAACAACTCAGCATGAGCCAACCGTCTGTCTCGAGCAAGTGACTGCTTGCATGGATGAAATCAAAGCCTATCTTACTGCAAATACAACCCCAACAACTCCCCCCTTGAAGTCTACAGATAAGTATCTTGAAAGTGAGCAAATTGACCAGCGTGCACAGGCTTTGATTCAGACAAAGGCGTCACTTGTTGAGATGCGTCAGTTTCTTCGCCAAGTGCCCTGGCATGAACTTCGAAGCCCATCAAGCGCCCACCGGAGTGCGACAGTGCCTTGTGCAGATGAACATAAGAGACCGTCAGCGTACCTCACCTTTGGGCTGTTTGTTCATGGCGGAGTTGTCGGAGTGACTCGTGTGTCTAGACAGTACCCCTGGCTGACGCAGGTGCTTGTACAAGTGGTCACTCAAACTCAACCGAATCACCCATTCTCCTCCATATCAGTTTCCTGTAACGTGAAGGCCAAGCCTCATCGTGACAGTTATAATAGTCTGAACATCCCGAACTTAGTAATCCCGATTGTGAGGCCCCAGTCTGGTGGAGAGATTTGGGTAGCTGGTTCCCCTGGCCCGAATCAAAAGGCGGTCGATGTTATGTGCAAAGGTCACAAGATGTCTGGAACCCTGCATTGCTTGAGGGATCACTTGTTGCTTGACCCGCATGTGTGGCATGCGACGATGCCGTGGAGCGGCAACCGCATGCTTGTCGTGGGATTCGCGTCGAAAGCTTACTACAAACTTTCATTAGAAGATCAGCAATGGTTGTGTGCGCAAGGTTTTCCCTTGAAGCTGCTCCGTGAGCACGAGCCCACGACCAATCATGTTTCAGACGAGCTGACAGCATCGGTCAGCTGCAAGTCTG